TGCTCCGTGCTTCTTCCTGGGGTGCAGAGCTGAAGTGGCCCGGCTCCATTTTGCCTGCACCCCATCCTCCCAGCCCGTGGGCTTCAGAGGGGTTGAAGAGATCTGTGTGGTTTGATAGCAGGCCTCCCACAGACACTCCCTGCAGCCATCCCTTGTCTGGCTCGGGGACAGGCTGGCACCGCTCTGCTCCCCATGCAGCCCTCGTGCTTTAGAAGAGCGTGCACTGCCCATGAGCTGCAGCCTGCACAGTGTGCACCACCGTAGGCCCTGGAATGATGCTGTTATGGTCCCCAGGGGAAGGGCTGGGTGCACTGCCAGCTGCCCTGCCCCGCTCACCCTCTTCGTGTGCCATTTCTTGAGAGGCAATAAATTGTATTGTACCACTGTCTACCATTACTCCTTTCAATACGCACATCTCTGGATATATATATATATGGTATCTCCCTTGTATATATTTCTGTACTCTGTGTGTGTGGGTGTGCAGGCACCCACGTCCCGCTGTGCAGTTCTGCCAGGGCACTTCAGTTCTGTGCTGTAGCACTGTGCTCGTGGGCCGTGCGGGGCTCTCCGAGGACGAGGGCACGATGCTGGGTACAGTGCCCTGCTCATCATTGCTTTCATTTTGCAGGGAGCAGGAGGGCAGGAGAGCTGCTAGCAGTGTGCTGGAAAGCTCCCGGAGGGTACGGGCAAGTCGGAAGGCTGCGGAGAAGAAAACGAGGTGATGTAGTGGTAGGGGAGCACAGAGCTGCTGAGGGGCAGTGAGCAGCGGGTGGCTGTGTGGGCTCAGCTGGGTCCCGTGGGCTCAGCTGGGTCCTGGCAGCATCACCGTGCCTCCAACCTTTGATGGTCCCGAGTTAAAGCTGCCACTGGCTCCTAGCACTGCGGTTTGTGGCTAGAGCAGGTCTGTGAAGGATGGCAAGAGAAGTGATGTTGGATGATTTAACACACATGTGCGTAGACGTGCGCATGCGTATCGATACAATTTTGGTGCATTCCTTATTCTGCTTAGGCACGTGTGCTTTGTTACTCAAGTCCCGTGAGCAGAGGATGGCCTTGTCCTCCCCTGGGTGCCATGCTGGACGGATGGCCGCCCTCAAGCTGTGAAGCCCTCTTGTGCTGACCTCCTCCTTGGTCCTCTGAGACCCCAACATCTTAGTGAGACGTCGGGCAGATGGGGTTAAAAATGGTTCATTTGTGCATCGGGTCGCTGCCGTTCAGCTGTGTCCCCCACAGCCCCGAGGCCTGGCCAGCTTAGCAGCATGCCAAACACGGGTGCTCATTGTGCTGCTGGAGGGTTCTGAGGCGATTTCCCTCTCTCCCCGTTGGAAGGTCTCTCGCAGGGCTTTAGGAGAGGTGTGGGTCGGGTTGTGCCATCCTTGCCCGTGGGCAGCGCGCGTGGGGCCGCCGTGGCCGCGCCGCTCTGCTGTGGTTGTGTCAGTTTGCACTTTTATGAGGCCGTTGTGCCGGGGTCTGGGAGAGATGTGCGCTGTGGGGAGCTGGCAGCAGCCAAAAGAAAAAGCCAGCGGAGCCAGCAGTTGTGGCAAATGTCACCTGCTGCAGCAAGGTGGCCCCGGTCCCGTCGCGCAGTGGGGAGGAAGGCCTTGTCAGCCGGAGAGGGACTTAGCAAAGCAGATTTGCGGCCAACAAGCACCTTAACCACTGAGCTGCGGGGCTCTGACCATTGCACTTCACCTGCAGGCTCCTCGGGGCTGGGGGCGGCCCTTGGCTATGGGAGCATGGGGCTGCAGCTCTGCGGTGCCCTCGGAGCGCTGTGTCCCAGCGCGGCCCCGTCCCTCCCTGCTTGCTTCCCCTGAGTGCGCGCACTGAGCCCGGCCCCGCTGCCCACCCCTGAGTACGGGTACCTCAGAACATGCACAGTTTGAATTTTCACTGACAATTAGTTGAATGATTGTGAGTGGAAAAAAAAAAAAAAAAAAAAAAAAAAAAAATGTTTTTGTAATTATCTGTAAATATGTAGGTAACAAATTGACCTAGTTTCTGTATTTTTTAAGTTTTTTTGTACTAAAATTTATAGAGAACAGTCTGTGCCAGCTAGCAGAAAGCTACTGTAATTGCCAGTCGTAGTGCAGCATGCATCTAATCCCTGAGATTGTCGAGGTGACGCTGTAAGGAATTGTGCTTCTGTATTGCTGGGGGGAGCGGGGCTCAGCCTGGGGTCCCCATGCCCCCCCTGTGCCATGTGCCACTGTGGGCAGCCCGACGGACGGCAGCGGTGCTGGGGCTGAGCTCGGCGGGTTCCGTTCCTTTGCTGCGGTTTAAATACCGTCTGATGACTTTTTGTTTTCAGCCTTTGTAGAAACGATCCGTTTTTCTTTCCCCTTTCTCAGTGCTTTTGTCTTAAGCCCCGGAGCTCATCTAAACCTACTGGAGGAAAAAAAAAAAAAAAAAAAAAAAAAAAAAAAAAGAAAAAAAAAAAAAAAAAGGACAAAAAAAAAAAAAAGAAAAAAGAAGAATTTCATTTGAGATCATTGCCTGCTTTTAGCGCCAGGATCACGCATTTCTATGGCAACTCTGAGCTCAGCAGAGTTGGGCGAGCAGCACGGCTGCCGATGAGCTGAAGGACGCGGCTCTGCTGCTCGGCGCGGCTCCGGGAGCCCCGCGTGTCCCACAGCCCCATCCTGGAGCACGGCGTGGGCGCCCATCCCGCCCCGCTGCCCCGCAGCAGAGGTGAGCCCGGAGCCCAGAGCTGCGCCGAGCATCCCAGGAAGCTGCAGGCAGAGGGCTTTGGGGTGCGGGTGAGGCTGTGCTCGAGGGCCGGGTCCCGGCCGCCCTTGGCCTGTGGGGATGGAGCTTCCGAGGGCCGGGCATCCGTGAAGGAGCAGCGTCCTCGTGTGCGGGTTTGGCGAGCGAACCGCCTGCGTCCTCCCTCCCGTTTCCCTCCTGACCCCTCGCAGCCCTTCTCCTTGCTTGCTTGGAACGGGAGCGTTGTTCCCTGCCTAGAAACAGCCGAAACGTGGGGGGGGGGAGGGAGGGAGGGGGACAGCCCTGATGTAAATAATTAACGTGACAAAGTGAAGTGTGTATAACAGAAAGGCGACGGCCCTTGGGGTGCCCGAGGAGGTCGCTGGGCCGAGCCGCGGGCATTGGCCGTGAGCAGCCCTTGGTTTTGTGTGCGAGCGGGTAGCGGTGTGTGCTAAGGGTAGGAGATGCTATGTGAGGTGTGTATAGTGTACATTTTTACAAATAGCTTGCTTGTATTGTGGAGATTTTAAAGACAAACTTGAGAATTCTAGCCTAACTATTAACACAAGTTTAACATCAGTTACCCCCACTGGGTTCAGAGCCTCTTGAATGTATATTCCTTTTTGTAACCTAAATGACCTATTCTTCTACCAGTCAGCCAGACATCCTATTTATATTTTTAATTTTATATATATTACTTTCCATTCGTTTCCATTATTTCCAGCATGTTCCTGGGTTTGGTTGGTTGTTTTTTTTTTTTTTCAGTTCGTTTGGGGTTTTGTTTTGTTTCTCTTTGCACAAGCAATGAACTTTTCACTCCAACCTGGTGTTTTCCAACCCGTTTTCCCCCCTTCCTCTTCTCCACCCCTGTTGTTTTTTCCTTCCACCATCCGTTTGGGTTTTTCTGGGCCGGGATGCAGCGGGGCGGGGAGGAGGGGAACGGCTCATTTTCCATTTGCAGCTTGCTGTGCAAATGCCAGGTCTTTTTTCGCCGGTCGACTTCAAACGCTTCACTTGCTGGTTGCTTTAAAAAAAGAAAACAACAACAACAACAGCAACAAGGTAAACCCTTATCAGTGCGAGGAGAGCGGGGTGGGAGCAGGGAAGCGCACACCTGTAGGGACACGGCTGGAGCTGCGGGGCCGTGGCCGCTTCCCCCACCCCCCTCCTCTCCCGGGACCCCACAGCAGCTCACAGCCCCACAGCCACCCGCGTGGGGTTCCCTCCTGGTCCAGCAGAGCCCGGCCTTGGTGGCTTTGTGCTGCAGGTAGACAACACGCATCTCTGCTGTTTTGCTATGAACACTGGTGTGAGGTTTCCAGGCCCTCGCCCACGGCGGTGGGCTGCCAAGGATCCAAATGGGAACCCGACTCCTGCCTGCCTCCGTGGCTGGGAGCAGCGGCTGGTATGAGTGAACCTCCAGGTGTGCGTTTTCCTTCTTGTAGGAAATGCCACGAGCACTAACTGGTAAGGCTTAATGTACAGTATATTGTCAGTATTCTGGTATTCTTCTGGTTCAACATACATTATAGCTCATATATAACCTGTATTAATTGTATAGATTGTGCATTTAAAGCTGTTACCGAGTTGTCAGAAAAATAAGAGAAGAGAAAAAGAAAAAAAATAAGGTCATATGTAATATTTTGTTTGTAAGTATCCTTTGTATCATAGCAAAGGAAATGTTAAAAAAAAAAAAATCAACTGTAATAAAGTAATTTTAGTACACGGAGTGTCTGCCTGCGTCCCTGGTGGGGCTGGAGGGTGGGGGTCCCACCGCCGTGCCTCTTTCTGGGGCTGGGGTCCCTCCCCTTGCACTGCTGCGGGGTCCCTGCAGCATCCTGCAACCAGCCCGGCTGCCATGGCGACGGGAGGCGGCCCAGCTTTGCTCCGTTGCCTTGACAGCAGCGCTCGCAACGGGGATTGGGAAACGGGGGCAGGACGGAGGTGCTCCTGTCCCCGTTGTATCCGCCCTCCGAAGCCCCCGCCCCGCATTACGGAGCGCTGCTTGCAGGGACCCCCTGCAATGTCACAGCAGGGGGAGCACGGGGCGATGTTTCCTAATGGAGGACACAGCCCGGCAGGGATTGCAGCAAGCCCAGCCCCCAGCCTGACATTCATTACCAGCACGTTCTGCTGCTCTCAGCACAGCCAGCCGTCCCCACGCAGCGCTCCAAGTGCAGAGCAGCGCGTCGCACCCTGAGCCTTCCTCTGCCCCATCACCATCCTCCTCCCCCAGGCTGCAAGGTCCACAGCCAGCAGGTCCGGCCCTTGGGGACACGGTGGGAGGGAGCCGGGGGCCGTGCAACGCTCACATCTTTATTGATACAAATGTACAAGGACACATCTTACACGAGGCAGCGCGGCGCGGGGCAGGACGCCCGGGAGGGGAGAAAATGGGGAAGGCCTCCAGGCATCCCCTGTCCAGTGTAATGCTGCGGGCGGCCCTGGGGGAGCGCGGCCGCGGGGAGGGGGGGGGAAAACGTGGCCACCCAGGAGGATGGCACACGCTATGTACAGGATAAGTTAGGAGCGGGCTGGGGCTGCTGTACGGGGGCACCTCCCCAGGGCCGAGCACCAGCTCTGCTGCGACAGCCGCCCGCACTCAGCCCAAACCGGAGGGAGGAGACGGAGAGCAGAGGCCGTGGGTCGGAGCTCACTGCTTCTTCTCGCGGGTGGTGATGGTGACCAGCTGCTTGGCCGCCTTGGCGATGTCGTAGGCGCACTGGATGACCTGCTGTGTCAGCAGCTGGTAGTCCACGGCTGCGCCCGGCTCCGGCGGCACGGTTTTGCGGCACTCGCTCTGCAGCCGGTAGGCGCTGGCGTTGAGCAGGCGCAGGGAGCTCCGCACCGTCTCCAGCGCCGGTTTCTGCACGGGGACAGCATTAAGGGCATGGACTCGGGGTGATGGGAGCCCGGTGGGGTCACTCCCCCATCCTTACCTTGGGGAAGAGCGACGCCATCTCCGTCACTGCCGAGTGGATCTTCTCTGAGCACGGCACGAAGCTGCGGGCAAACAGGGCTGAGCGATGTGGGGCACGACGCCGCCCAGCCCCACGCTCACACCGCAGCCCTACCTGTCGTGCTTGGACTCCTGCGCAGCCCGCAGCAGCTCCTGGATGTTTTTGGTGACCTGCTCGGTTTTCAGGATGACGTCCTCTGTGCTGGGCAGCCCGGGGTCCAGCTCCCCGTCCAGCGGGTCCAGCTCGTGTGGGAAGTCCTCGTCCTTGCTCAGCTCCACGAAGCGCTTCCCCTCCACACTGTGGGGATACACGGGTCAGGGCCAGCTCCAGGTCCCCCAGTGGTCCCCATCCCCATCACTCACCCCAGCAGGATCTCGCCTGTCTGTGTATTATCATAGTCGCTATCAGTGCCGCTGCCGTGCCGGTCCAGTTTGCTCTGTGGGGCAGAGATGCAGCATTACACCCTGCCCGGCCCCATATCCATACAGGGATAAGAGATAAGGTCCCTCCACCCGCTCTGACTCCCCCCGGTACATCACCATGTGCCGGGCACCGTCGGGAGGGCAGGAGAGCAGCGGGGAGGACGGGGGAAAGGGCATGGAGGAGACCGACGGACCTTTCCGCATCTGGAGGGGGAAGAAAGGGGGGAAAAGGGAGCTGAGTGGGGGGCACGGCAGGGCGCGGAGCCGAGCCCGGTGGCACGCAGGGGAGGACGAGCACAGGGGACACCACCACCCTGCATGCAGGGAAGTCCCGCGGCCGCCGGCCCCACTGTGGGTTCCCTGGCACTGCTGGGGTGGGGAACGTCCCAGGAGCTCAGGAGGCCGACAGCCCCCCCGTGCCATGCAGGAGCCGCCCCCGCTGCGGCCCCCTTACCCGGTACACGCTGGCCGGGATGTGCATGGAGTACAGAGCTTCGTCCTCCACCTCCTGCGACACACAAAAGGGTGAAGCCCCGCCACCCCCACCTCGGCATCACCTGCAGCTGCCCCGAGACCCCTCCCCAAAATAACCCATCCCAACGTAGCCCACCCCAAAGCCCACCCCATACTCACGCCGCCTCCAAAGGGCTGCAGCCGGGTCACCAGCTCCTCCACTGGCTGCCCAAAGGGTTTCAGCACCGAGCCCGGCTCGTACATGGAGAAGGCCTGGCGGTCACGGCGGTGCAGGGGGGCCGTGCCGGGGGGGGTGCCCGTGCTCAGGGCGCTCGCTGGGGGCTGGGGTGGGGTGCGGGGGCGCCGCCTGCTGCCGGATCTGCGTGTTCTCTGATTGCAGCTTGTGGATCTGCGGCAGGGGAGAGAGCAGTAAGCAGGGGTGGGAAGGGAATAGGAAACAAGGGAAAACGGGGTGCCTAGAAGGGAGTGGGGGCGGAGGGGGGGGGTCCGGCACACACACCTCACGCTGCAGCCGGCGCAGCTCATCGCTCAGGCTGTTGTTCACCTTCATTAGCTGCTGCACTTTGGCCTCGGAGGCGGCCAGGGCTTTCTTCACCTCCAGGTACTCCTGCAGTGTGATGGGGCCGTCGGACAGGTCAGAGGAGTCCATGCTCTGTGAAGGGAGAGGGGCTCAGTACCAGGAGCTGGGAGCTGCAGGGTGGATCTGGGTGTTGGGGAGGGGGCTGCAGCCCACCCGTGCACGGTTGTTGCGGGACGCGTTGCGCAGCAGCTCCTGGTCTGTGTCCTCGTCGGAGGCGACGCTGTCGTAGTCGTGCTGGTCGTCCAGGTCGCTCTGGCTCCTCAGTGAATAGTCGAGGGCCTCTGCAGGGCCAGGAGGCTCAGCTGGGGGTGTGGGGTGTTCCCACCCTCCCCTACTCTCACCCCAGCTGCCCCCATCCTCACCCGTGGGGCTGAGCGGGCTCTTGCCCTGCTGCCGGCGCTTGGCTTCCCCCAGAATATCGATGAGCAGAGTGGCAAACTCCCGGGCGTTGAACCTGGCCAACTTCTGCCGGCCCTGGGATGGCAGGGGAGATAAAAGCAATGAGGAGGGGGTCCGAGCGTGAGGAGGGGTCTGAGCAGAGCACTGGGCTCACCTGGTTGCGGGTAGCTGAATACTCAGGGTTGACAGGAAGGAAGGGGACGGCGCTGCGCTCGGTCACCAATGTGCTGTGGTTCTGCGTCGTCAGCCACACTGCGGGCAGGGGGAATGTCAGGGGGGCACCCACCCCTATGGGTTGGGGTCCTGGAGGTGCCATCCCCCGCCCAGCAGGCTGTGGGGCCGGCAGGACGCAGGCGCGGGCGTGGGGCCAGCGTGCAGGGCTGGGAGCAGAGCCCAGGAGAGCCGAAGGGAATGAGCTCCCCCAACGCCTCAGCCTGCCCTGGGGGGGGCCCTCTGCACAGTGCTGACCCCCAGACCCCTTCTGGGTGCCCCCAGCTGAATGAGGAGTAAAGCACGGCGCGCCCAATCCTACCCACCAGCCACGGAAAAGGGCTGCCCCCCTCCACCCAAACCCAAGGACGGGGTGTATCCACAAGGCTCATCCCCACCCCCAGCTGGGGTCCCGGCACCCACCTCCAGTGCCCGGCACCCCGATCCGGCACCGCAGCCCCTCGCTAAAGGAAACGGCCCTCGGCCCCGGCCCGAGGAATGAGGAAGGAGGGGCCTGCGGTGCGGATCGGATCGGGGGGAGTGCCGGGCTCTGCTCCTCCCCGCGCCGGGACGGCCGCCAGCACCCAGCCGGGAGGGGGGGGGGGGGACACCCAGCAGCCGCCCCCAGCCCCGCTCACCCGCATCGTTCTCGCGCCGATCCACCTCGTCGTACACGTCCATGGCCAGCTCCTCAAACAGGCGGTTGCTGAGCTGCGGCGGGATGGGGGAAGCATCAAGCCGGGAGCGGGGGGAGGAACGCAAAGCGCTGAGCCCCCCCACCCCATCGCCTCCCGGCCCCGTGCTCACCGCTTGCAGCTTCTTCTTGGCCGCCTTGGCCAGCTCGGACAGGTCCAGGCTGCGGGGTGCATGAGGTGGGGGGACACAAAGTTGGAGTTATTCGTATTCTGCCCCCACTGATGCTCCCCAGATGTGCCCTGCATGCCCCAGGCTCGGGGGCTTGGGCAGACACGGGTCCAGGACGCGGGGTGGCACAGGGTGAGCAAACCCCCCCCTCCCGGCTGCCCCCCAAAGGGCTGTGCTGAGCACCCAGAGCCCATCCCGGCGGCACGGGGCGATCCCTGGTGTGAGTGCCGAGCAGACAATACCTCTGTGCCATGCACTTGGGGCGCACCCTGCGCTCCGGAGGCAGCAGTGGAGGGAAGAACAGGATAAAGGAGGATGTTAAACCGTGCACGTAGCCCCCCCCAGTACACAGACACACACAGACACACAGACACTCCAGGTGATGTTCCAGCGGTGGTCACAGGCACAGGGTCTCCCCCTTTGGCCCAGCGGGGACACTGGGGGGGGGGAAAAGTGACGGCAGACGGCTGCGAGCACGGGGCACTCACCTGTCTGCCATCTGTGGGATGATGTAGTGCCCGTTCTTGTGGTCTGCACAGAGATAAAGGGTGGTGAGAGCGGCCCCCCTGAACCCTCCTAACCCCCCCATACGGTGCGACAGGCACAGCACTCACCCGGCTTCCTGCCGCACAGGTAGAAGGCCAGCCGGTCGGTCAGCTCATACTGGCACTCCACCAGCCGCTCCGCCAGCTCGTGCTGAGCCGCCTGCCTACGAGGCACAGCCGGGGTGACACCAACTGGGCTGGCCACGTCCCCCCCACCCCAACGCAACCCCCCCGCCACCCCAACGCGCTCACCTGGCGTAGTCGATGGGCGTCCTCCCATTGACGTCGGGCGCACCGGGGTCAGCGCCGTACACCACCAGCAGCTCTGCCTGCAGGATCTGCCCGGCCTTGGCGGCCACGTGCAGCGGCGTGGTGCCCTTCTCCTGCGGGCACAGGCAGCGTCAGCCTCGTGGTGACAACGCCGCGACCCCCCGGCTGTCTGCCCCCCTCCCCCAGAGCTCACCGGGTGGAAGAAGTTGGCCTGAGCACCCAGCGAGAGCAGGCGCAGGCACGTCTCCAGGTTGCCTGTCCGCACGCTGGAGTGCAATTGCTGCATGGAAAGAGGCAGCAGTCAGTGCCAGCTGTGCCACCGGCACCAAGGGGGGGTCCCTGTCATGCTGTGCCCCCACCTTGCTGAGGTCCTTGGCGGTGACGCCGTCATCGTCCCGGCACGGCAGCTTGTGCACGAAGGCCAGCATCTGGTACTTGGCGCGGATGAACTCCGACTTGGTGGGGCTGGCAGACACAGGGTGAGGGGGGGGCATCCAGCACAGCCCCCCCCCTTTTCCCCCCCGCAGCCCCAACCCCACAGCCCACGCTTACTGCACTTTGTCCTGCGGGTTCGCCTTCCTGCGCCCGCTCTGCACCTGCGCCGGGTCCAGCAGCGAGTGCTCCCAGATGGAGTTGGCCCCATTGCTGGCCAAGGTGTGCACCATCTGTGTGGGGGGGGGGGCACGGTGAGCGATGGGACAGCCCCTCATACCCCCACATCCTTCCCGGGTGCACCCACCTGCAGCAGCGTGGCGGGCCAGGGGCTGTGCCGCAGGTGCTTGACGATGGAGATGTGGCGGCCCAGGCTGCGGTGCACGCTGCAGCACTCGTCGCAGATGAGCACACCGCGGTTGATGGAGGCCCAGCCCGGGTCTGCAGGGGGCGTGGGGTGTTATGGGGGGAGTGGGGGGGGGGG